TCGGAGCCCTGCAGAGCCCAGGCCATCCAGACATGCTCCCGCCGGAGCAACGCTCTCTCCCCCATTAATTGGAACGAACCCAGTGGTGATTAGCACCCCCGGGTCCTGCCAGAGCTGCCCCAAGCCAATTAGGGCCCGACGAGCCCCTTGTGGGTTTGAAAGCTGATTAGGGCATTACAACCCATCCCTTCCCGCGAATCCCCTTAATCGAGTCCAGAAGCAATTAGTTAATCAATGCCACCCCCGGGCAGGGCCAGCTCACGGGTGCGGGGATGGGTGCACATCTGGATGCCCCACTCCCGGCTCCGGCCGGTGGCTGCCCCCCTTGTTGTCCTCCCGAGCGCCCGGCCAGCCCCGCTTCCCTGCCACCGCCTGCCTGGAAGAGCCCCAAGTGCCCAAAACGGGGACAATTTTGCAAGATGTGCTTGGCCGGTCCCAGCACGGTCACTTGGTCGACATGTGAGCCTGCCCGGAAGGAGCACCCAAAACAGCTGCGGGGCCGCTCTGCCTCGGGGAGGGGGGGGCCTGGCTGTGGTGAAAACGGGGCCTGTGCACCCCTGCGCCCCTATACCCACGTACGCATGGACATGTGCACCCCTGGCACCCATTACATCCCTGCGCCCCTATACCCATGTACACATGGGCATGAGCGCCCCTGCGCCCGTGAACTGCTGCACCGATATACCCACGGACCCACGTCACCCTGTACCCGTGTAACCCCGTACCCCTGCACCTGTGTACCCCTGCACCACTATACCCACGGACCCCTGGACCCCCATACCTGTGCACCCCTGTACGTATCCACCCGTGTCCCCCTGCACCCATTACATCCCTGCACCCTTATACCATCTACTCACGGACACGTGCACCCCTGCGCCCCTATACCGACGGACCCGTGTAACCCCGTACCCCTCTACCCACGCACCCCGGTACCTGTCCACCTGTGTACCCCTGCATCCCTGTACTCCTGGATTTGTGCACCCATTTACCCCTGTACTCGTGCACCCACGTACCCGTACACCCACGTACCCCTGTACTCGTGCACCCACATACCCCTGCACCCTTATACCCATGTATTCATGGACCCAGGGACCCCTGTAACCATGCACCCCTGCACCTATCTACCTGTGTACCCCCGCACACATGCACCCCTGTACTTGTGCACCCACGTACCCCTGCACTTGTGCACCCGTGTACCCCTGCACCCACGCACCCCTACACTTGTGGACCTGCGTACCCCTGCACTTGTGCACCCACATACCCCTGCACTATTTCACCCACGTACCCCTGCACTTGTGCACCCGTGTACCCGTGCACC